CTGCTTGAAATTCAGCCATCTCTGACGGGAGGAGATGCAGCGTGCATATGGCCCACATGCTTCAAGTTAATGACATAAATTATTGCCACCTCTCCCTTTTGCTGAGCAACCACGGGCAGAAAGCTATGAAAGGGATATGACTTTTGGCAAGCCTACTGCTAGTCAAAGCCAGGCGTTTGGGTTGTCCTGGTCTCCTCCTAGCGATGGCCAACTAGGAGTAGATGGCTTAGTTCAATGCCACACGAGACCCTTGCTGTTTGCTTAGCTTCTTGCCACCTATTAGCAAAGGTACCTTGGTACCACAGAGTTCATTTCTGCTTTGCTACAGGAACAGTCAAAAAGGACTTTTGGAAGTCTAAATCTGTGGTCAGGGTCTTGTCTTCTTTAGTTATTGTTGTTTTTGTTGCTGCTTTATTTCATTTTGTTTTGTTTTTCCCAAGCCAAATATTCACTAAGAGATGTTCCTGGTATCCTTTATAGCAGCCTGTGATTTGTCCTGGTCACCTTTAAAGTTAGGTCTTTAGAGCTGGATGCCTCTCAGACTTCCTGCAAACCAATAGCCAGGCCTACCAGATGGTCTGTAAAATGGGCTGCACAAAAAGTAAAACCTCCACTGGCTATTAGCCACGCTGTTATGGGAATCGAACAGCCTGGGTCAGGAGCCGTTTGCCACCTCAGAGAGCAAACACAACATTGTCACGACAGGCAGTGACTGCAGCAGCACCGAGCTTAGTGCTGACAACCCCCATGCACTGCTCTGCTGCAGGGGATGAAGGGGGCTGCAGCTTCTGGCACTAACGCAGACAAAATCCTGGAAAATGGCAGTGTGCAGGAAAGCATCGCATCGCTTCCCTGGCACGATCTGGTGCATGGTGCTGGGCTGAAGCCCATAGGATTGCCTGAAGCTGTGCTGAAAATTGGGGGTTGAGATAAAGGCAGATTAATAGCACAAAAAAACAAATAGGAAATAATAATAACAATAATAATAATATACAAAGCAAGTGGTGCACAATGCAGTTGCTCACCACCCACCCACCGATACGCAGCCAGTCCCTGAGCAGCAGCCAGCCAACCCTCCCATTTTCAGTGCAGGGCAGCACAAGAAGCTGAAAAGTCCTTGGCTTAGTGCAAGCACTGCTCTGCAACAACTAAAACATTGGTGTGTTGTCAGCATTGTCTTTCTCCTAAACCCAAAACGTGGCACACAGCAGTCCCTATGAAGAAAATTAACTCTATCCCAGCTGAAAGCAGGACAATCAGCTGCTGCCACAATCGATGAGGCAAGACTAACCACTGCTGTCCCCCTGGACTTCCCTGCTGTCAGCCTGCTGGCTGCAAGGCAGTCTCTTTGGGCTAGATGCTGATGTTTTTATTCATGGCCATTTCCTCTCCCACAGCTTGCTGCAGGCACGCTACGATGCCCACTTCTGCAAACGCACCTCCAGCAGCGTCTGACTTGCCCACAGACTGTACAAAACCTTGGGATCTGCTCCATCCACGTGCAGCCTAAGACAGAGCAATGCTCCCGTATGACTTCCCCCAGCAGAGCAGCACCCACGCACAAAGAAAACCCCCTGGACTTTCCCAGCTAGATTTAACTAATGCAACCCAAAGACCTAGAGCTGCTTGCTGAGCTGAAGGTCTGCAGGGTCAGAGACCCATCGCTGCCTCTAGCTGCTAATCAACACAGACAGCTGTGTTTGCAGCAGTGTCTCCATGCTCAGCTCTGCTCTGAACATCCCCTTCCACCCTCTTTTACACCCCTCTGAGAGGTGCCGTCCGTGGCCATCCTAGTACTCGGTTTCCCCCTGGACTGCCTGAATGAACAGCTCTGTGTCACCCCCACCATGCCAGCCTGGCTTCCAAATGCAACAAAAGCTGGAGATGCTCAAGGTGTAAGTCAGGAGGCTGGTCTCCTTCTCCACACCCTCTCCAGGCATCTTCCAAGAGCCAGCATGGAAAGGCACGAGTCTGGAGCCCCCAGCAGCTCTACTAGTGGCAGCAGGACGCCTGGGGCAAGGCTTCACAAATAAGCACCACAACAGGTCTGGGCTCAGCATTTTAGCACCAGTCACAACAGTGGGTTGTGGTTTCCTTCTGTTCCAAGAATTAATGTTTTCTAGACCCACGATCTTAATGAGATGGAGTTGTCTAAGAACAATCTTTATGACTGACTTCTCAGCCAGCACAAATGGCAAAGCTTCTCTGTGTGCCCCACCTTACCCTTGCTAAAGGACTCTTTAATGGCCCAACTGAGTTGAAAGAGACTCCATATCCTCCTTCCCCTTGACTAAGTTCTCCTCTTGAAAGACAGGGCTAAGGGTTTATGGGTCACAGACTATTTCTCACATTCTCGTACACTTTACAGCTTCCTGACCACAGCCAGAGGCAGCAATAAAAGCAAGGACCCTACAGGATGCTACTCCTGCCAGCAGCAGAGACCTAGCGTAGAATATTGTGCACTGCAGAGATCTGCACACTCGTGCAGAGCCTTACTGCTACGTTGCTAGTGCTGTCCCCATGCTTTGGCAGGGGAAAAGTGACAGACTCAGATAACCCAACACGTGGGGCTTGCAGGATCCTGGTGTCCACTGCCAGGGAACAGAGGGACAGAGCAAAGAGCTTTGCAAATAAACACCTCTCTGACTTTCAGTGACCCCAATATACACCTAACCACTGGCATTAAAGAGGCTTTAAATAACTAGTGAGTAAAAATAACTTCTTTAAGGTCTATTACCATGAAAATCGTGAAGGTATTTTATTGACTGGTAATTAAAATCATTGCCCTTTTGCTAGCATATGGCAACTAAGGAAGAGGCATTTTGCTAAAGGTACAGAAGGCAAACCGCACTAGCAATAACTGTGTTTTATCTCCCTGGGAATGCACAATAAAAGATTCAGATCTTATAGCTGAACTTTGTAAAAGGTTCCAGTAATCAAAAGTCAGCACGGAATATTATCAAACATTAAGTTTTAAGCTGCTAATATTTAAAGACCTGCTTTGGTGTCTGTCATTTTTATTCTGAGATGTTTTACTTGTCTCGTTTTAATGATCGGATGGTGAAATGGAGATGAAAATTACCCAGAGTTTCTCCTGAAGCTTGCTCGATATCAAAAATATTCTTTGTGCTGTATGCATATGTGGGTCAGAGGGATTTGTGGAGGTGGGGCTATTGTTCTCAATGTGGATAGATCAAAAGACGAAAAAGAAAACTAAAACTACCAGAGGAATGAAAAAGGACAAGAATAACTTGTGCTCCCGGTGCCGTGTTCAGTTCATCAGGAAAGTGTGGATCAGTAAGAGCCCGCTCCCAAGGTCACCATCAGCTATGCAAAGGCTCCCCCAGCCCTGGAAGCGAAGGGAAGGTCACAAATTCAGGTGGTGCCAGTGCCTGGTGAGGCCACTAAGCTCAAGGCTGAAGTAGCCACTAGGCTTGGCCTTTTGAGACCCGAATCTCATTTTGAGACCCGAATCTCAATCTGTGCTTTTGAAGAAGTCATTCAGCTGACCATGTCCCAAACCTTCACAGAGAGAAGAGTTTTGTCTGCCCTACATCCCCCACATCCTCGTGAGGGGATTCACACACTCATGTTGGGGAATGAATTCTGCCACATTCAGCGAAAAAGGGAGATTTCTCTGCTGCCATCTAATTTAAACCTTCCCAAATGAATTTTTACTTTTATTAAGCAAACCTTCCCTTGGATACTGCCAGAAGACTCCAGATCTTGCATTTGTAAAGCTAAGGTATTGCTACCAATAAAAATAAATAGATGGCAATTACTAAGGAATTACATTTAGAACAAAAATGACTGAATTTATTACCCTTTGTATGTGCACAGCATAAAATGCAGTAGTACAGAAGTTTAAGAAGAAGAGGCAGGAAAATAAACTTTGCTTTCTTTTTAATGATGAAACCAGGAACCAGCTCAAATAACAATTGAAATCTAAAGCCATGAGTGAAGAGAGCCTCCAAGTACAGAGCTTGAGTACAGATAACTGAGCAGTTCAGCAATGCAAATAGATTGGTGATGACCACACATTAAATAAGGACACCAGGCTGGGGAAGATCCTTTTGGAGAGCGACCTTCCATTAAACTTTACGCTCTACAGACAACAAGCTTCATCCAAAAGCCACCAATGGTCTTTCCACTGAGGTGCCCACAGCTAGAAGCCATGCTACAGGTCAAAGCTATTTGCTTTGCCCGTGAAGTGTAACTCTTGTGGGACAGCCCATGGAGGGGGAATGAGGATACCAAGCCCATAAGTACTTCCAGAGGTATATGGGTTCAGGAGCCCAAATCAGTTGTCCTTTACCACTGCGTTTCAACCTGTACTGTAACCAGAATAGTAAATCCTGCAGTGGCATGGCCCCACACAGTACAGCCCAGACTGGCCCGGGCCATTTCCAGATTAATAACTCCAGCTTCCAACTCTGCACGGATCCCTTTAGTACAACTTTGCTAAAATAATGTAGAAATCATTTTTAAAACTATTTAAAAGCTGAGAAATTTTGAATGACAGCTTCCACAAGTTATCTCTCAGTTTTTACTGTCTGAAAACCTCATGTGACTACTGGGGAATTATAACATAAATATTGGTTTAAGGTGAGAATGGTTTCCTGCTAAGCGGTGGCAGCACAAGAGCTTACAAAAGATACTCTGAAAAAGCTCCCAGTATGAAGATATCCTTGAAAAATCAAAAACTGTCAAAAAACAAAGACTACACAGATTGTCTTAAATCTTCCTCTTTGACTGCCTTGGAACATCGAGTGACCTTGTGTCCACCCACCCTGTTCAATGGCCACTTGAACCCGTTCACTGGATAATGGATGCTCACAATGAATCTGTCAAACTCTGGCTCAGGCACCCAGCTGGGAGAGCTGAGCGGCGGTAGCTTTGTCTTCACTGCTCAGTGGGTTCAAGAGAACTTCATTTTATCCAGAACAAAAATGTTTTTCCCGAATTTGGAGTTCAGGTGAGGAACTGGACATCCCCTTAGACACAGTGCTCTGCTAACTCTACTGTCATCCTCCTCCACCCTTGCTCCCACCGAACTCACCCAGGGAAGTGGCCACAGGGGAGCCTGTTGTGGGATTTTTTGGTTCCTTTGTTAAGTTTGTGCTGCTCAGCTTTCTCACCTTCTCAGTCCTGTTGCTTCTCTCTCTCCTGGATGCCTCCATGCCAAGACAGGCTCTGTCCTAGGAGAAAGAACCTGAAGATGTTGCCTTAATTTAGAGACTCACAGTGATGGAGAATCCAGTCTCTTAGCAATCTGTCTCCATGTCTGATTATTCTAACTCCTAAAAATCTACATTGTATTTCCAGATTGATTTTTCTTTTTTTTTTTGATTGCAAACTTTACTTTCCAGGCACTGGATATTACATCTTTTCCTATTAAAAAGCCCACTAAAACCTCCTTTCCCTGGGCAGCCATTTCATCAGCCTTATTTCTGACACAATAAACGGGCCTGCAGTCTTATTCAGGTTCCACAGCACAGCATGGGACCAGTCCTGGCCCACTGCTGTAGTTTTTCTCTAGCTCGGAGAAAATATGTGTCTCCCATTCGGCAAGGACTAGAGCAGGAAAGGCCACATGAAGTACAAATGAACCACAAAAAAAAAAAAAAAAAAAAAAAAAGTGCTTTATCAGCCCATTATTTCTCTAAAAACACCTGATTATTATTGACTATAAAATGATTATTGTGATTTGCATAGGAATTGTCCATAAGGGAACATCCTCCACTGTTGCAGTGGAAAGATGGTGAGACGGCCTTGCTCAGGAGGATCCCAGTTTTGTTGTTGTTTTGTTTTATTTATTTATTTATTTTTAAGAGGAAGAAATACTTACATGTGTTGTGAACGTGGGTCTGTTCAGCTGATACAGAAGGAAGGCGAAACTGTGGTTTCCATGAGGGCAGCTGCATTACCTTGTGGGTGCAGCTGATGGTGATGCAATGGTGCTTTTGTCCTCCAGCACTTCCCCTCCGTTCCCAAGGACAGCTTACAGCTGTCCCCTCCAACAGGCAGGACATGAAGTGTGCATCTAGGGGAAGCATTCATGCTCCTCTGACTGCAGTGCCACCCACGTGCTGTGCAGAGGACCTTTGTTCTTGTGTCTTGCACACAGTCAGATCCTTGAAGAAAAGCTTTCTTCAAGGACTGTACTGGGACTGGAAGGAATGTGACTGCTTTTCCACACAACTACCAAAAATTCTGCATTTGTCTTATGCTGCCTACACACCCCATTAACTTGTTCTCTCCAAAACTGTCTCAAAGCACATTCCTACCTAGATGTCTCTAGATAACCAAGCAATGGAAAAGTGCTTGCTAAGAACACCATTCTCCACTGATTCAACTTGTGATGACACTGCAGGATCCAGATTTTCTTCCCTGTGTGCTTATCTGCACCAACTCTATCCGCATTCAACCTTTCTGCCTCTCCAAAAATGATCAGAAAGACCTTTCCTCCATGGTCCTCCTCTCTGCTCTATGCACCTGATTCCTACTCTAAATCAGCATGCAGTGCACTTCCCCAATCCTACTCACAGCTTCATGCAGATTTTCTCAAATCCCTGCTCAGCTGCAATGGAACAGCTCTTCTCCCTGCTCCCTGAAGGAGCAGAGCACGTGGGCAACACTTGCTGCTCGTCGGGGTATAGCTTACTTGATCCCAGGATCAGGCTGGCCCCAGTGCCACTAGGCATTTATATACTGCCTGGATATTGCCTGGGAGAAGATTTTCGAGCCTAATCCAGTGTCATTGCACTCAGCAGGAGTTGTCAATGTGTTAACACTGTCTGCAGCTGCTAATAACAGAACTCAGCCCTCTGGATGGGGATTTTGTGTGACAGGACTGACGTGTAAGACATCCCAGCAGCTTGACAGCTGGCTGTTCAACTCCCAAAAGCTCCTCATTAACAGCTGCACTTTCTGCAAAACAAAATGAAATAAATCCAAAACAAAGCAAAAAGATTTCCTGTTCACACATGCACAAGAGCTCCTTGTGAATTGGCTTTCGGTACTCAGTTGATTCTCCTGTTTAAACTGAGCTACAGAAGACAGATAATAAAATAAAATTAAATAGGTGTTGACTTGCAGGTCACGGGCCATTAATCAAGAGAAAGCCCTCTTAGTTACTGATTCTGGCTTTCTTGCAGGTTTGTGGAGTTTAGCGGCATGGTCCCAGCGCTGAGGTCAGGCAGACACCAAGCTATTGGAGATGATTTACCATTTGATGCTAATTGGATCTAAAGGAAGCTCTAGGATGGAAACTACATTTGCACTGACAGGAGGCTGACATTCAGCTTGGCACTAAGCACTGTCGTGAACAATGCTGCTCCCTTCCCGTGTCTGGGAGGCCAGAGGGAAGGAAACAAATTCTGTTGCTTCTGGTTGAATCCCGAAAGGGCCTAGCATTGTGCCAAGCTCAGCATGCTCCAAGGTCAACATGTATTGTCTTTTATTAAGCCCAAGGGGGACTCCTGCCCACAGTGCAGCACAGGGTTTGTGGGGTCCTGGGCCCCCAGCCCCATTTGGAGAAGAAGTTTGCCTCGCGGATTCAATAGCTCAGCTCTACTTCACCTTATCCTTCTTACCCTGTTATATCACCAAGAAAAATATGTTAACACATGAGAGAAAAGATAAACGTCCCCAGCCCTTCAATGACACAAGAGATTTACTGAGTTTTCTGTAAAAGTTTTCACTTTTACTGAATGCAAATGCCTTGGTTCCTTGGTTTTCTGAAAAACATGTCTTCCTACAAGCAAGCAGCCCTTGACAAGAGAGCATGTGTTCAGGTTAATTGACAAAGCCTCTCATTAGATAAAGCCATCCTACAAGATGAGGGTAAATATGCAAAAGACATTTATACTTCCACAGGCTTAAGCCTCCTTAAAGCTTGTAAACTTGCCCTGCCAATCTTCTCCAAGTCTTTTTACCCCAACAAAAAATATTGCTGGACAAATTGATAAGCACACCTTGCTGCACCACAAAACCTCTAGTTCCCATGAACTTTTTCTTCTCCTCAACTCTCCATCTCCCCCTCACAGCTCATGTTTGGTGCCAGCAGCCACACACTCACAGTCACGATGTTATCCTGACCCTGTGCTCCCTGCAAGGCAGCTCAAGTACTGCTCTCTGTCACACACATAAAGGAGGAGAGGAAGAGGTAAGGACCATAGCATAATGCCCAAAGTGTCCCGTGATGGCTGCTTGCACCTCGTGCCTCACACTGTGAATGTCCCTTAGGCTGTCCCAGCCCCTCTGGCTCAGCAGGCCGCTGGAAGGAAAAGAGCAACCTCCTGGAGCTTTCATGTGTTTTGGTTTTCAACTCACACTTGAATTTCTCCATCTTTCTCACACAGAAACCCTGCAGGGTCTCAAACTCGTTTTGCTTCATGTTATTCATCCCAGCCATGGGTCTTCCCAGGCAGATTTTGAGGAAGTAATTAACGTTCTGTGGGGAAAGGCTGTTCTTGACAGAGAAAGCCACTTGCTGGTCTCTGCTGAGACTCTCTAAGCCTGTCACCCTCCTGTCTCAGAAAGCTCAGCACAACCTCCAACAACCTCAAGAAAGGTGTGGGAAGGCCTGATCACTGTGTAGGAGCTGGGTGAGCTTCAGGGAGGCCCATTCCCCTCCTGCAGCTCTGTTGCCACTGCCAGAGCCTCCTCCTCACTTCTGAGCACCTTTCACCCTCATACATGCACGCTTTGAAGGACCAGAGGACAACAGTCCCACCAAAAACACAGATTCCCACCATGTTGGTCTTGCACTGAAGAGATGTCCCTGAGCCAGGGCAGGGCCTCTGGTCACAGGCCTGGGAGGAAGCAGGGGAATTTGGCTGCACCTAGGGCATGTACCACAAAATGTGGTACCACCAGGTGTGTTGGGAAACTGAGGGCTGAGACAGACCCAGAGGGAGAGCAGAGTTAATAGCTTCTACTTACAGGGGCTGCTCATTCTCTGCTAGCCAGCGCAGCACCACAGCTCCCTTGGAGCACTGTGGCAGCCCCATTTCATGCTTTCCTCCCATTTCATATTTCTGGCGACAAAAAGAAAAAACATCACAGCATCTGAAATTGCTCGTTTCACAGGAACGTAATCTAACATTGCAAAAAAACATGTTCCACAGAAAATTGCCAGCCAGGGTCACCAGCACAGCTAAGTTCAACCTGCCAGTCCCTCTCCAACAGCGAGCATCACTTGCTATTTCCAAGACACATGCGGAAACATCCCAGGACTCAGAGATGGGTAACCAAGCATCACTTTGTTCCCTGACCAGTCCCTTGTCAAGGGCCTTGTAGATTTAGTTCAGTGCCTGTGGTCAAAAACTTCCTCAAACTCTTCGCCATTTTCTGCTCCTACAGAAGGCGGACAGCTCTGTTGTGTTCCAAGGATGATCTTCTCTCTGTTAAGTTGATTACCTGCTGCTAAAGGGAAAGAAGGGAAAAATGCATGTAAACACTTTCAGGAGGAGGAGAAGGGCAGGGATGTGATTGCTGTGGAAAAGCCCACATTATGCTCTCAAAAGTTAACAAAGCCCTGGCTGATTCTTCACTTTTGTTGCTATAGAAGTGGCTTAACCATATTTTCTGGTGACAGACTTCAGCAGATAACGCTCCATTGGTCTCAGCTGATAGCATGGCTTTTCTGCCTCTACCCAAACTGCAGAGTAGTTGGGAAGGGCTTCATTTGCTGCTCTGGGTCTGGACATGCTCTGGTTAACTCACATGGGATAGTGGCAAGGGGGGGCACTGTGAAGTTAACACTGCCTAGAGTAACTCACGCTGCTCTGCTTCATTTAAATTACATTCAGGACACACTGATTTTGCACGCTCCCTGGGAGAACATCTCCAACACCAAACTCTGAGCCCTGCGAGTGTTTTGCACGTGTGGCGTTGCCAGCTGCATATGAAATCGTAGCTCAGTGCCCCTCAGGTCAGCTCGTGGTTGCTCCTCACAGAGCTGAAGCAATGGGCAAGAGCTGGCAGCGGTGGTAAAAGGGAACAGAGCATGGCCAAGGCAGGCTGGGGCTCTCAGATCCAGGTCTGGGCAGCACTGAGTATCTGGGTACCTGTTAGAGAAGCTCCATGGAGTTACAGCTGATATTTTTAAACACTGCTAGAGAGCACAGATTTGTCTTCCTTCATAGTGGGAGACCTGCATTGCGCTGCATTGCAGACACAGGCTTGCATTGCAGCACCAATATGCCTCGCTCTGTCATGCGCTTGTTTTTTTATGGCTTGTGCCAAATCTGATCCTAAATAGATAAAACACAACGTTGGTCTAAAAAGCAATCCTTCAAGGCTTCCAGCCTGAGACAGGCCCTCACTGCAACCCCTACTTTGGCCACCCAAATGTCTTTTTAGTGGCTCTGGCCCTCTGCTGCTTCCCCATGTCCTTTCCCATGGGCAAATACACCGTGGCAAATACTTTCAATGTATCCAGAGCCAAGAGGTCAGTCTATTTTCCCCACAAAACAGAAGCAATCATCTGATGATGATGGTGCAGAATGAGTGTAGCACATGGTCTAGACAAGGTCTGGACAAAGGACCAGCCAGTCCTGAGTCCCCAGAACATGCTGCATCATTTCCACAGGTCCCGTGCAGGCCCACTGAATACCTGATGGATTCATTCCCAAGACATCCAGAAAGAGAAACACCAAAGCATGTGAAGCCACCTTTGCACCGTACCCTCAGAGGGAACAAAGAGCCTCTCTCAGCTGCTTCTTTAATACATGTTTGGGGGCAGGACACAATGAATTCACGCTCATGCTTGTGTGCATTCCCATGCAGATGCAGCTGGATGTAGACTCCAACCTTCCTCCTCCTCTGCTGGGAAAACCCCTCCCCTCTTCGTGGAGGAACAGTGGCCTACTTCCTCCAGGGTGACAGCAAAGGGAGGAAAAGCAGTGGTAAGCAGCAGCTGTGAATGTCCACGCCAGCAACTACAGCGTGCTAACTACTTCTAATTTCCCACTGTGGTAGCTGGTCTCTAAAAGGAAGAGTCTGCAAGCTCATTTTCTGTTTTACAGAATCCCAGAAGGGCTGAGGTGGGAAGGGACCCTCTGGGGCCATCTGGTGCACCCCCTGCTCAAACAGGGCCACCCGGAGCTGCTTGCCCAGGACCACATCCAGGCAGATCCCCAAGGATGAGACCCCATAGCCTCTGTAGGCAGCCTTCACCAGGGCTCCATCACCTGCACAGTGAAGAAGAGCTTCCTGATGTCCTTCACTACACTCAGCATCATGGCAGAGGGAAACAGAATGGAGTGAGAAGCCACCGTGTGCGGATGCTGAAAAAGCACAGTGCCAAAGGGGTGAGAGGCTTTATCACAAAGGCTTTATCCAACCAGTGCTAAATGCTGTGCAAAGCTCTGGTCAGAGACAGTCATTAGCAAGACAAGCAAAATATAGAAAGGTTAAAAGGAGATTGAGGCAGGGAACGTTACATGGCCACCAACATCTCCTGATCAGCAACCCCTAACAAAACTGTGCTTCCCAAATAGGACCGAGAACAAGGTGCTTAACTGCATTTAAAATACTTTCAGGGTGGCTTAGGAGAACAGAGAGCCTCCCCTTAGAGCTGTGCTTTGAGAGAAGGTTCAGTGCTAAAGAGACCTTTGATGTGTGTGCCTGTATATCATGTTCCTGTTAGAAATGGAGGATTTGTTCTCACTAAGGTCATCAGGCTTTAGCTGATTTTAAATTCAAGTCACAAACCTTGGATGCTTCAGTGGGAACAGCATCAGGATCTCAGAGAAACATGCATCTTCTTTCTCATTGCACTAGTTGTAGAAAGGGGCAGGCTTGCCCTCAAATATAGTACTTCAAGAAAAGAAGGAGAGTGTGGGAGGTTTGTTCACCTCAAAGTGAATATAAGTGCAGCCCCAATATGAAATCCAGTGAGGTCTTTACATACATACATCCCTTATAAATGCCCCAAGGTGCAATCTATAGATAATCCCTGTACATCAGCTGGCAGTGCTGTCGGCAGACTGGATAATGGCACAGTTGTACTCCCCCTCACCTCAGCTCAGCCATTCATTTGGGTCTTTCTTCTCTAGAAATGTATGGTAACCAAATTATCCTCAAGTCTTCCAGCCCGCTTTCATTTTTGATTGAAATTCATCAGTTCAAAAGTTATCGCTGGTAGAAATATAGATGCAACAGCCTGAACCTTGATCCCTTTGAAAAAAATCACAGCTTCCCCTGCAGTAGAGGTGCAGGCAGGGTGCTGGAGAGCCGTGGAGCATCTCCCAAAAGAGACAACGGAGCATAAGGAGGTAAATGCCCCAGGTGAGACCAACCCAACAGTGCCAAATTCCCATTTCTCCTCTACATCCTGCTGCTGCCAGGTGCACAGACCCATTATCTCGACCTATACCATGTGGCCTCCACTACTGACTTAATCCTCTGTAAGAATTTGTGCCCTGAACCATTCCTCTCCTTCTCTTGTGCCTGACCAAACCTGCTCAGCCACGTGCCTGCTCTGAAGGGTGCCAGTATCCTGTGGCCTGCCCAGGTGACTCTGTACTTAAAAGCTGCTGCTACGTGAGCTGCGTGGTTTTCCTCTTACTGAAGGCTGAAAGATAGGTGGTCATGCTACAGGACAGCAGAGGAACAGCTGGGTCCTCACCTGAGTGCATTGTCCTGGTCCTTCTTAGGACTTTCCTTTCTCTGCACCTCAACACACCTCAGCAGCTGCAAAGTTCAGGTCTCCAGAGCGGGCGACATCACGTCCACCTTCCTCCTTTACGGCTTGCAGTCTGTTATTACCACTCTGCCAAAGGAACAGATGTTTTTCCCATGTATTAGTCTCCCAAAAGCTGAGATGTGGTGATTTCTCTATTCCAGCTGAGAGCCAAAAAGCATCTTGCTCAGATCCTTCATTAAAGCAAACCCAGCTAAATTAGCTGCCCTGGGGATCAGATGAAGGCCTAGAAGATGTAAAAAAGATTAAAAGAAAAAAAAAAAAAAAGAAAAACCACTATTGACACTGGTAAATGTGTCTTAATTAAAAGTTTTGAAAGCACAACTCAAACACACTCTAGTCATCCTCCAAGTCCCAGCAGAAGTTAATGAGATGATTTTTTTTTCACAGTCCCCCATTGATCCATGAAGTGCAAAGGGGGAGTCAGAACTGCAAATGAAAAAATTGTGGGTGCAGGGCTAGATGCTGATCATATTTAACAGGAGCACAATCCCAGCATGATCCCATGCAGCATTATTCCAGGAAGCCATGGAGGCAACCACCATGGCCAGAGGTCAGCCTTGGATGAGGGAAGCAAGAAGTGATGCTGGAAAAGTCCACATCATGCACCAAGCGTCACGAAAATTAAACTTTGGATACTGCACTTTTATATCTTCAATAGAAAAGAGTCTATATTTTTATCCAAAAAGTCCCCACAGTCACACACTGTTTCTGTAACACAGTGACAGAAGAAACATACCCTAAAAACTCTCCTGCATCAAAGAAAGCGGACTCCATCTCCCACAATTTTCAATAAGCATCCCCTACACACGCAAAGCCAAACAAGAGAGCTCTCCAGGCACAGGTTTCTCCCCTCTCCACTGGACAAAACTTGCCCAAAGTTTTCTACAAAATTTGTAGAAGCAGAGATGCCACTGAAGGGGACAGCTCTGCTCTGTTTGAGGTTTGTGTTTGTCTCTGGCTTCTGTGCAGAGGATGGGGTTCCACACAAGGCCCCCCAGTGCCCCCAGCTCTCAGGTAAGGCAGCAGCGGCTGCTCAGGATGCTCTGGGTGCTGCTGGAGTGGGCTCAGGCACAGTGCCTTACCTTCTGGTGCCCTCTGGTGCCAGCAGCAGAGCTGTCCTTGCAGCCATCCTACCCGGCTGGGTGCTCCTCACCTCCCTCGGCCTTCCTCGCTCTCCATCCCCACTCACACCACAGTGTCCCAGGTGTCCCACACCCTGGTGTCCCAGGGCACCTGTTTGAAGCGAGGAAGGAAAGAGAGCTGGAGAAGATCCCTCCCAAACCCCTGAGCAGACCCAATTATCGTCCCCTCAAGCTGGGACCCTTTTGACTCGGATCAGAAGGCTGCTGAGCTCAGCAGGACACAACGAGAGAAGGAGAGGGACAAGGATCCCAGGGGAACCCCTTCCTGGCCCATCATGTGGCAGGGTGGCAAGGGATTTTAGCAAGACGTGGATGTGTTAGGATCCTATGACTAGGGTCAGGCCATGGTGTAAGCTCAAAACAAACATAACCCAACCAATATAGTACCTGTCATGCTCTCAACGTTTTCCATGGGCTTTGAGGTCTGATTCAGAAGTGCAATAGGACTGATGCTAAGTGTGACTCACCCTGCTTGGCCCATTCCTTCGTGGTGGGATTTTCAGCAGGGAGTTGACCTCATCTCTACAGAGAAACACTCACATGAGTCTCCTCTGGCTTCTTACGTGCCACCCGTGCTGGCCTGCTTTAGGACTTTCAGGCAGTAAGATGGGTTTGCCCAAAGGAGCACAGTTCATTGCTGGGGCAAGTGAAAGGCAACCACCACTTTCCAGCTCGCCTAAAATAAATGTACACCTGCAGACTAAGGTCTGTCACCCCCTGCCCCTCAGTGTGGTGTCAGCTCATTCTCCCAAATCTTCCCCATAGGCCTACACCACCTGGAGATGACCACCTGGAGCACTGACCCTGAGGAAACCAAGCCCAGGGCTGAGCAGCTCTGCAAGCCACTGGGAACCCAACCAACCCTCTCGCTGTGTTTGTCTTGCTCTCTGGAAAGCACCTGGAGAGAATTTTACCTCCTTGGAGCAGGACACATCCTGCTCTCAAAACCCCCTTTGTAAATGTGGGAGCACAGCATTGTCCCCAGCCACTGAAGTCAAAATCTTCCAGTCGGCTCCGTGGAGCCCCCTCAGGTGGGTTCCTCTGAAATTTCCTTGTCATTCCCTACCCTCAGCTCACCCCAATTCTGCATGGCCACCTCAGGGGAAGCAAGACCCATCTTCTCTGTCGCTCTTCCCCACACACAAGTCAAGAACCACATCCCCGGGGCTCACTGCCCATTTCTTAAGGGCTGCATTTCCCCATGAACCTCAGAGCATATGAGCGTTACTCTCCTCGCCCCGCCACCCTTCCCGGAGCGCAGGATGGGCGTTACATCACGTACCTCTGCCCAGCCCCTGGGGATCACGAAGCAAAAGTCCCCATCTGAGGCAGAGCTTTGTGCCGGGGCCCTGAGGTGCGTGGTCACCAGCAGGAGACAAAGCCAGTGTCAGAGCCACCACCCTTCGGGGGGGCCGGGGTGATTTCTCCCCTCGCAGCCAATAAAAGGGCTGTGAGAGGCACATCTTCCCCTGCAGGAAGCAGGGCGGTCACGTCTCTCGCCGGCGGGCTCCTCTCATGAAGCAGTGGAGATGACAGCGAGCCTCGCCTGCAGCTTCGCCACGCTTTGCTGTGTAGCACTCTGGGGCTTCACCGGGACTTCTGATGGTAAGAGCCGAAAATAATCTCTGTTCTCCTCGTGCTTCAGGCCCTGCGACCGCAGCTCTCCTCTGACTGCTGCCCGTGCTGGCTCAGACTTCAGCTGAAGCTTTGCTTAAAAAGCTTTCCCTCCCTTTAGCAAGCCGTGCTACCCAGGAGCATCACCTAAGGGTTTCAAAGCCAACTCCCAGTCTCAGCTTACGTGTCGGTGTTTAAACTCTGCACGACCTCGATTATTAAATCTAAAGGCTGTGGGTAACAATTTGACTACAGATGGGCACTTGAGTACCGACTTTAATGAAACATTTCTCCTTATCGTTTCTTTCTTTGCTGAGCAAGGAAACTCTTTTGATTGCAGCTGCCCTTAAATCTTTGGGACGGCAGTGGCAGACAGGAGTGTTTTTTCTCTAGCTCTACTAGCTCTACTACAGCATTGCTTTGGTTCTTATATACGAAAAGCACTAACGTGCTCAGGGATGGCGTTTGGTTAGCCAACAGCATTTTGTTTCGGCTGTGGTTTCCTCCGGGGGTTGCAGAAGTATGCAGGAACTCTACTGCGTCTTAAATATAAAGATAAAAACCAGCCTTGCTCCTGGTAATGAGGAGGAGGTTGTGAAAGCACCCCCATGATTAAAAAAAAAAAAAACCTGCAAAAATGTCCCCATTTGCTTTCCTGCAGGCTGGGAGAGAGCAGCCACAGGACTGCTCTCTCATACTGCGGGAATAGGACCCCCAGGTTGTTCCTCGATGAGGAAAGCACAAGACAGACCCTTCAACACATTTGGCTCACCTCTGCAAGAGCAGTCCTCTCTTGCTTAATGGCAGGCAGTTGCCTGTTAACTCAGAGCAAGAAAGCCATCTGCCTTCCTACTGCCCGGCAGAAGCTGTAGGCAGGCCAGACCCCCACACACACTCACCAACACCTCTCCTCTCATGTTCAAACCCAGAAGAAAAGATAGGACAGAGAGATACAAACACTTTGACCCTAAGCATCTCCACATAGAGCGGTGAGAGTCATTGTTCCCAGCTCGAGACCACATCCTCTGTGAGATTTAAGTGCCAGGTCATGCAGTGCATCTCCTCCTACCCAGGCTAGGGCTTACAAGGGTGGGCTGGGGGTGTTTTAACACCACTGGTACACACAGAGCCTTGCACTGGCATCTGAAAGCCTGGGCCACTCTACTTTTGGCTGGTAGGTGGAAAAAACACTGCCACATTGCCCAGTGCTGGCTGCACCCCAGTCCCAACACAGATCAGAGACACTGAGACTGTGAAGCTTGTCACCCCCACACCAGAGACGTGTCACTTGCGGAACATCCACTCCTCTCTGAGCCACGTGGGCTGCGTCTCCTGGCTCCCACCTGCAAGAAAATGGGGGTCATTGAGACAGCTGGGGTACGGGATAGGAAGAGATGTGAATTTGGACATCCTTAGGTTGAGAGGGAACGTGGAGCTGAGTCTCTCCCTTCGCAGAGCAGTGTTTTAAATACTGAGCAATGTTACCAGGGTGTGCACGTGCAACCTGAAGGCTGAACCCTTCCAGGCTCCTATGTTGATGGTAACAACAAAATGCTCCATTTTGTTGTTGGTTTTTGTTTGTGTTTTAAATAGGCTCCTGGGTCACCACGTCGGCTCTCTTTTCTCCTTTGGAGCAAGATAAACTAATTATTTTCCTCAGTAAAAACTAGCTTAAATGCACAGGGTGTTCTGTGGCTCAGCGGAGAGCTCTTAGTGAGATCTAACTGTGAAAAAAAAAAAAAAAAAAAAGAAAAAAAAAAGCTGGAGGTGGTAAAAACCTTTGCTTTTGCAGAAAACAAGTACAAGCTTTGGGTTCAAGTTCACATATGAATGCAGGCTTGCTGCCCACACACAACCCCAAGGGTCACCTCCCCGACTGGCAGGCCTTGGTATCAACAGCAGCACGAGAACTTGTGCAGGCTCAGGGATTTCTTCCTCTTGTGTTTCAGAAAAGGGGAGTGGAGGCAAGCGTGAAGTGGACAAGGTATGGGCATCAAGTGTGAGCTTTGGGATTCTTCTGAATTATTGAAAGGACAAATGGAGATGCAGGGAAAGTAGCTGCACACCTAAGAACAAAGAGTAATAAAGGCTGTGTGGAAAGATGTGCTCTTGGCTGAACAAACCCCAGCCTCCCATGGTTTTAGCAACTCCATATGTTTCATGATTGTGTTTTGTGTTGTTGCAGGTACCTACATACCACCACCTCATTCGACCACGAAACCTGGCTTCCCTGTGCCTATGGACACAGACAATCCTGGTGTTCGCAAGGCAGCTCGCTTTGGGGTTTACCAATACAACAACAGTTCCAACGACCTCTTTCTGTTTAAAGAATGGCAAATAAACAAAGCCATGGTGCAGGTAAGACACACTTCTGGTGGCCCTCCAAACCATTCATAACTGACCCTGCTGCAGAGCACCCAAGACAGGAGCGCTAGATCCTCCTCAGGGCTGCTATGTGTGCCCAAAGATACACACCACATGTCCCTCTATCCCATTTAACTGCCCCACAGGAGGTGTTTCCACAATTTGTGTTATGTGAATTTAACATAAAACACTTTCACCCACACCACCACACACAATCCGCAGAGGTAGCACTTGATCCCTCGCCAATAGCTTCTTTCAGCACCCCTTTCCCCTGCCTTACCTTAAAGGAGGAAACTGCTTTCTCTAGATTGTCAGAGGGCTGAAATACATGCTCCACGTGGAAATCGGCCGCACGGTGTGTGAGAAGAAGGAGCACTGCAGCCTGGACAGCTGTCACTTCCAGAAGAAGAAAAAACTCCAACAGGTAGGTAGCCACTTCCATGGGGTACCCAGTAACAGGGGTGATCCCTGGCCAGCTCTCGCTGTGTAGTCACTTCACACCATGCTCTTTTTCTCCTGAAGATGCTCTTTTTCTCCTGCCCCAACATGGCTCACAGTGCCAAGAACAAGCAGCAGCCAGCTGAACTTTGTCACCCTGTTTCCCTTTTATCTGCAGATGCTGAAATGCTATTTTGAGGTCTGGATAGTGCCTTGGTTACAGAAAGCACACGTCCCTGTTGCTCTCTGTCGCTGACCCACCTTTCCCCGTGAGAGTGTGATTTGCAGGGGATCTGCCATCGTGAGTTTTTCCTTGTCTGGACTTCTGAGGCCAAAAGTGAAGTGGGGAACAGCTGTACAGAATCAACACAGAACTTTGCTCCCAAAGCACATGGTCGGGTTTTTTCTACCTGTCCCTGAGGAAGATGCTCAAAATCTGAGTGACAAAGAAAAGACTTGCTGTGACCAAATTCATTGCTATCCAGTTGTGTATCTCTTTTTCTGAAACTAAACCCCAGATGAGAACATGTTGTCGTTCATTCACTAGAGAGCAATTCACCCTCTTTGAACGGGATTTCCAAGCAGTGTGAGCAGACCCAGGACAGCTCTGTTGGACTTGCGTTGCTGTATGATGAGTCTTCATGCAGCTATGACATAAACGAGCCTAAACCACAGCACACACAACTTTGACACTGTGGAAAGCTTTACAATAGGACAGTATGCCTGGGGATACACACACACGAGCGTTAAAGGATCTCCAGAGCCAGAGAAAAGCTTAGATATATCTATCAGGAATGCATAAGGTAGAGCTGTTCTTTCCTCAAGTCAAGAATATGGATGAGACTGTCCTAAGACACACCCACAGCTCAAAAACGGTACAGCCTAAATACTGTTTCTAAAGTAATCAAAAGCTAATCTGCTATGAAAGGGCATTGTTGCAAATGTTAAGACAAATAAACACGATAATTTCCAAAGCATATTTTTGCTGAGGTTAAACAACGTAGTTTCATTCACGTTCATATTCAATGTTTCATTGAATTTAATTGAATTGGACTCCACCACCTCCCTGGGCAACCCGTCCCAGTGCCTGACTGCTCTTTCTGAGGAGAAATTTGGAAGCATTTGTGTAACTGCTACCTTAGAACAGCAACAAAGCCTCGGTCTACGTTCATTCACACTCTTACAAGTGAATAGGGCCCTGACCTAAGCTATAAACATCACTTTCTTTCCACAAATACACCCTTGCTTCTCACAGCTCTGCAGCTCTGTTGCACCTCCTATTAGCAGGGACACCCCCACTTTCAGTCTTTTTAACCATCATTTGGTCAAGAACGGCCACTGATGGGCTCCAGGCTGAGGTGCAAGAACCCTGAAGCCAGGCGGGCTCTTCACAGCACAGCTGAGGCCTCTGCTCCAAGTAGTGCCACAGCCTTTGCAGGCAGATCACTTGACTCAGGGTCAACCCCCCATTTGTTAAAAGACAGGAGTTAAAGCCAAACATTTGGCATCATGCAGGGTAACAAACACAACGTGCTCGTGCTGCTGTCCTGAGGAAAATGCAGCAAGATTGTTCAGACATTTCTACCCAAACAGGCTAGTTTGGAAGCAAAGGAGAGCTGCATGCTTTACACAGAACTATTGGCAGCATTTCCTACAACACAGAGGAGCTCTTTGCAACCAAGTTAGCCGGCAAGCACCTTCTGAGAAAGACAGATCTGCTCCAGTCGTAAATCTAAGCCTAAGTGTTTACTGTAACATTACAATAAGCAAGGCACGCTGGAATAGCAGCATCCGTCATCTCCAGGTAGTTAACAGTTATCATGATCAAAGGAAGGAGCAGGGCTAACATCAGCTGAGCTCTTAGTCCACCTCCGAGCACCTTGCTAGGGAAGGAATTCAGCCATTAAACAGTCTCCCATCAGGAGGGCACCACCAGCTGCAGTTCTTTTAGGTCAGTGCTAAGTGCCACTGAGTCACCGTGACATCCAGCAGACAAGCTGACATCTCTGCCCAAGATGCAGTTTTGCTAGAATTTACACCAAAGTTGACTGTTTACCAGTTAAAACTGAGAGTTCATACCTTTGCAGAGGCTCTGACATCTATTCCTGGCTACAAAGACAATTATGTAAAAATAAATACATCCAATAGAAAAATGTAGAGCCTAAGGAGAGAATGAAGAGTTGTTCCTGCCAACCCCAGCTACTGGAGAAAAAGGAACAATCCCAGCAGAGCATTAAGAGCTCCTGTGAAAACCAAAGCTGGTACTTCAGAGGAATCTGTTCATCTAGAAGCATTACAAGTGAGCTGAAGGAGCAGTTTCCTTTGGTTTCACACAGTGCTCCAGGCATGCTGGAAGCACAAGTGCTTGGTGCATTACGAATTTTCTCAGCTCATCTCCTTACGAGGATGCTCAGCCTCTTCTGGAGTAGTGTTCCCTAACAGCTCTGCCTTAGGGAGGGATGAGCTGCAGGCTGAGGAGCCCTTCGTGCACCCAAACCAAGCCAGCCTACATTTCACTGGAGATTCGCAGAGCCTAGTGATCTGCACTGATCTGAGCAGGTCAGTCAAAACTCCCCCATTTTTGTTCAAAAGCTGTGCTATGCAGCCTTTCCCCCCACACTCCTACTTACTGACTACATAGGAAACAGCCTGCCAGCTACCAAAATAAATGAACTCTGACTGATGTACCACTTTGCAGCCTCTTCACATCAGCAGCTCCATATTTTGGACACGGCAGGCCTTTATATATCAGTTGTCTGTCAAGTTGTGAAATCAGGTACACCCAGAACCTGTTGGCAGCTGGGGTGTCATGCATGGAGTTACACAGAACCAACGCAAGGTTTACTGGCAGTGCTCTGTATGGAGCCATGACTTTCTGCTGGCTGGGAGGAAACCACTTGTATTTAGGTCACAACGACAACTTACTGCTAAATCTTTCAGTCCTTACCTCAAACGAAGAAGCAAAATGAGCTACAGTCGGTCCCCGTGTGGTTATTCTTTTCTAGCACCAGTTTTTCTAAGCAAACTAGATGAGAAAGTCCATGTGTCAGCATTACAAGATCTCTGCTGTGACCACTGTGCAGAGAGACCCAGAAGTTTAGGAGACACCATCCCACCTGCAAAGGCCACTGCCTCAAAGCAGACTTGGATTTAAAGGAAGCAGACTTGGGCCATGGCCTTGCAATCAATTTTATCAGCTGTTTGCACTGAAATACCAACCTCTGCAGAAGTGTTGTGAGGTACATGCACCATCTTCCAGCAGCTCTACTGTATGCTTGCTCCAGAACGGAGACAGGGCAGTTAGCTGGGGAATAACACCTTAAACAGCTTCAGCAAAATTTTATTGATGTTTTTGCCCTGCAGAAACATCTGTTCCACCAACAAAACAAAAACATGGTGACACAAAACATATCTTTAAAATACACATCCCTCAGGAGACTGGGCACTGTTTTCCAGTTCTGCATCCCAACGTTTTGGAGAAGCTTGTGTAAAACACAGAATGTACCCTCAGAACCCACTCGGAGTTGTGCAGAGAGGGTTTCTGCCCTTCTTAGGAAGCCACAGAGCCTTCTCCTGACACCAAAACAATCATGTCCTGACAAAATCTTTGAACACTGCTGAAAATGCTCCCACTTCTAGAGAAGTGCCGGCCCCAGAGCTGCACAGATGTCATGTTCCTGCACTGGCAAGATCAAGCAAGAGAAGGCAGAGCTGTCTTTTTTTCCAAGCCTCACTTCCAGCTTTCCCAGTTGCTCAAGGCAGATGTGTCAGCAGCCACCTGAAACCTGACTCACACTTCTGTGGAAGTAGAATGAGCCTGTAAAAGCAGGCTTCTCATTAGCACCAAAAGGAGTTCGTGCCAGTTCAGATACACACCAGAAGAGCCTTAAACTGCACCATGACACCTCTAGCTGGTATTGCAATTCCTCCCAGGTGCCTGCTGATACTGCAGCCATCCTCAGTAAGTGGCCTCCTTTCAATTTTAGTGGCCACAGAATCACTGGCAGTGTTGGGCCAGGAACCTCTCTTATCAGGAAGAGTCAAGCATACCAGCTCTTTCCTAGACCTGGTACCTTACAGTGTCACGCTGCTTCAGATCGAGCTCGAGCTCCCAGGGCCAAGCACAACGCTGAAAAACTTGGCTGAAAAGTTTCAGGTCATTACCAAAACACAGGAGATGGCCACATCACCTCTCAGAGGAAAAGGTTAACTCGCACCTGTGAGGAAAGGTTAACTCATAGCAACATTTCATTTTAGCTGAGGCTTTAAGCTTCTTGTGACAAACAAAATACCAACAGCCTGGCTAAATGGCATGGCCCCGTGTAGTTTGTTGCTCAGTTGTGCAGCCTATCACAGTTTTACGTTCAGTTCTTTACAAACTTGACTGGTATTTCTGCTTTTGTACAACGGGAACCGCAGACCAGACTGGGACCCCATGAACTTTCCCTATTCACAGGAGCTGGGCAGACAGGTTTTATACAATCTGAAAAATTAAATTGAGAAAAATTCCACTCATACCCTTAGTCCAAAGGCTAAACTTGCAGACAAACTCATTTAGACTGCAGCTTTTCAGCTACTTTCCAACCAAACACAGACAAAACCAGCAATTTCTGTTACCAGGGGGGCACAACAAGAGGCAGGGCAAAACATCAGGCACTACACTTTTATGGGGATGAATTCCTGCTTGCCTCTGAAGCCCGCTGCCAGAACTCCCCTCCTGCCCCCAGGTCAGTGCAGAGCCTGCCTTCCATCCACCTGCGGTTATTTCTAAAGCAGCAGTAGCTGGAGGCCCACTCTGCCCAGCTGGAGAGGTCCAGCCAGAAAAAAAACTGTACCACCAACCAGCAAGGAGAGGAAACAACTGAACTTCCCTGAGATGCAGTGGCCAACACGGATCCCAAGTGCTCAAGGCGATCTAAAAGGGAATCAGTTGCACAAAAGCTATTACATGCGGCATGTCTGAACAACCAAGGTCCATTTCACCACAAAAGACAGCACAGGTTATTCAGTTAGATACTTTTGCAAGCACTAGAGCTAACTTTGCAGAAACAAAGCCATGCTTGCCTCAAGGCCACCAAAGCACTAACCTGAAACAAGCCCCACAGCAACCTGGCACCCCTGATTTAAGCTCACGCCAAGTTTAATCCTCATGTCCCACGAGACTGAGACTAATAGCTACAAGGGCTGGCAGAACAACGCTAGCCAGCTGCTGCTTAAACAGCCTGCCCTTTTCCCAGGAAGAGATGTTGCAAGAGTGCCCCATTCTCAGCCCTTCCTCAGTGTTCCCATAGCACGAGTCCACCAGGCAGGTCACGCTTCTCAGCCTTTCACTTGCCACAGAATCGCTCAGTCTCTGCCCACAAATAACTAAGCTCAGCCAGACCAGAGGTCAGAGCCTGCAGCAACTCATCTGTCAGGCTTCTTTTTCCTCTCACTGAGCTTCCTCCCAAGCCCAGTAGCCACTGGAATAAGCAAAAGAGCTTGTGAATGTGATCCAGCCTGTACAGGAGCAAGTCACCCTGAGCCAGCACCCATCGGCTGCCTGCCACAGGGCTGCTGCAGTCTGTAGTAACACAGCACAAAGTGACAGAGCTCTGACAGAAAGCAATCACCTTCTGTGCCTGTCTCTGTTACTGCAGGGATATGCAAACGAAAGCCAGTGAAAGCAGATGACACGTTAAACATCTGCCCTTTCTCTGGTGCTGTTCTTTATACATCAAGCAAATCTTTGTTATTTCCTTTTCAAAGGTGAGAAAACGGAGCAACAGAGTTAGTCTATGTTTGACTATCACCCAGTGGCAGAAAGAGAACAAGCAGTAATCTTCAGTCCCTGAACAGGAATCAATGTACTAAAATCACACAGCTGCTAAAGTAACACCATTAAGTTCCTATATGAGGTGAAAAAAAAAAAGAAACTTAATGAAAGTGTAAACTGAACAGCATTTCCTTTGCAGTGCTTGTCAGAAAATCATTTCTTGG